TGCCGGTACCGGGGACCGGGACGGGGCTGCGGGATGGGACACGGGGTCTAAGAGGCAGGGGACCGGACATCAGCAGTGGGTATCAAGGGACTGTCCGTAGGGTACCGGGCACTGGGCAGTCCATACCGGACAGGGGCACTGGGGTTGGGTGGTGGTGCCAGTGCCCTGCCCCGGGATGAGGCACTGGGCACCCAGCACCGTGCCAGGACGCAGCCCAAGCGCGGCACATCATCAGCGGGTATAACGCACCGGGCAGTGGGGTGATATCACCCACCGGCTCAGGGCGCCCAGTGGCACTGCCCCTCGCCCCTGTCCTTCCTCAGGGCCGCACCGGCTCCCGCCTGGATATAACTTCTGCTTTTAAAGCAAAAAATGCACCTTGCCAGGGCAGCCCTTTTCCCTGAGGAAGGGGCCCTCTCCTGTGTGGCAGGATGGGGTTGTCCCTGCCTGCCCTCACTGCTGAGCATCGCCTGTCACATCTGGGGGGGTCCAGGGCCTGTGGCAGTGGAACACCCTGGGTATGTGCATCAGGGGGAGCCAGGCCAGAGCCATGCCTTTCCACAGTGTGAACAACTCCCAGGATGCAGCTCCCGGTGCTCAAAGGATCCAGCCAGCAGACACCTGTGGCTCAGCGGGAGGTATAAGTGCCATATTTTTACCTCTTTCCTTTTGAAAAACACTTTGCTGTGGGTTTCAGCATGCTTTCAGGTTGAACTCATCTTCTCCGGGTTTTCTCACGCTCACTACAGAAAAAGATGTCATCAAACCCGGGCTGTGGTCGAGCTATCTTTAACTGGGGTTACGCGGCCATCTATTCTGTTGCATTGTGTGGCGTTTTCTCTAGACAAATCCTGGCTCTGGGCCTAAAGCAGCAGGACACAAAATCCAAGTCAGCTGGTGTTTCTGGAGCGGCAGGGATGCCGTCTGCCTTGACATACATTGGGCTGCATCGACATCTCAGCTCTCCTTGGAAGCTTTCCTTTGCTTGGGAGGAGGAAAAATAATGTTATTGCTGCAGGAACTTGGCGCCGTGGGAACTGCATGATAATTTCCCTGCCACTGGTCTCCCATCTTTTTTTGGATTTTCTTTTGCAGAAGGTGCTGCTTGTTTCCACGGGCAGAAGGTTTCCGAGGAGAGGACAGGGCTGGGCACAGCCACCGCTTGCTACCGTGGCACTGGGTGCAAAGCTCATCCCTGAGCTGGGTGCTGGGGTGCCAAGGGCTCGGCTGTGGGAGGCCTTGAACGCCTTGCTGGGCACTGTCCTTGGGCTCAAGCTGCCATCTGCTGGCCACCTCTGCCTGGTCTCATCAGCACGGTCACGTCAGCAGGGCCACCTTTGCCTGGTCACTTCTGTCTGGTCTTACCTGCCTGGTCTCAACTGCCTGGCCACCTCTGCCTGCTCTCATTGGCAGGGCCACACCTGCCTGGCCACATCTGGAGGTGACATCTGCCTTGGCCACACAGGTCCTTGGACCTCTCCCAGGAAAGCTGTGGTACTCACAGTGACAGTGAGAGCAGAGGACGTATGGCCAGCAAGAGGTCCCTTTTTTGGAGGTACCCTCTGCCAGCCCTTCCCTGTTCCTCCTGGAGAACAGAAACTGTTGCCTCTGGTGACAACTGCCTTGGGGATCCAGCTCTTTAAAAATCTCTTTTAAATGTTTTTTTCTCCCAAGTTTTCTCCAGATGTGAAGGATGCAGAAGGGAGACCATTTTCTTTTGGTGGACACAAGGATTTCTGCTGCCTGTCCCTGCCTTTGTCTGCCCCACAGGGATGAAGCTGACTCCTCTTGAGTGGCCCTGCACCACATCCGTGTGCCAGCCACCAGTTTCTCTGGTCCTGCCCAAGGGCCCTCTGTCCCCACTGGAGCTTTGCAATGTTTCTTCAGCAGTTTAGCACACCCTGCTTGCTTTCAGGGGGCCGGGCCTGGGCTCTTCCCCTGCCGTCAGCTGAGAGCTGGGGTGGCCGTGAGCCGTGGGGCTGATGGTACCAGCATGCTGGAGCTTGCAGCTGGGTTTTTTGGCTGGCTGGGCCCACAGGAGCTCACTCACCCCCTGGCTGGTGGCCAAATGGCATGGCTGGGTGGCTGCCAGCGCTTGCATTAATAGCTGCCAGCTTGCGGTTTGAGGTCACCCGTTCTTTCCAGTCTTTCATTTCCTGCTCCCCCCCTTTATTTCATGCCTGTAACGACACGGAGCAGGCAGCAGCTCTGCCACCCCTCCCTGCCTGCACTCCTCTTGGCCGGGTGAAGCTCTTTGGCTTTCCCTGGGGCCAGGACAGCATCAGCTCATGGCACCGCATCCCTACTGAGCATTCCCAGATGCCAGGAGGGGATGTGCCAGCATCCTGGGGGACCCGCGGGGCTCTTCTCCGCCTCGGGGCATCACTTGAAGAACCAGAAACATCCTCCCAGCCACCCTAGGGCAAAATAAAACCCCCTCAAACCAAGGCCAGCGTGCAGAAGGCTTGTGCCAAGGCACAGCCCCTCGCAAAATAATTTGTAGCTGCCGTCATTCCCTGCCAAGGGCTTTGGGAGGGTGTTTTATTAGCAGCTCGCTATGAATAAATCTCCTTTTCCATAACACGCCAGCCAGGGATAAATAGCTCTGGGGAGGTGAGGCTGGGCTCCGGCCGCACGCCCTCTGTCCCTCTGGGGAGGGGAACGCCCGGAGCCCCCTCGGAAACCGGGATGGGGGTTCCCCCCTCGCTCCCTGAATCCCCAGGGATGCTGGGGCGAGGCTTCGGCTCGACGCCTCCTGCCTTGGCTGCTCCGGGCAGGACGGGGCCAGGCGTCGTTAAGGCGGGTGGGGAGGACGGGACACACGCGTGAGGGGACACGCGTGGCAGGGGGTGACTGGGCCGGGAGGCGGGGGGGCACCCCCGGACTGCCAAGGGATGCCTCCGGCGGGGTACGAGCCGGGCAGCCTGGGGAGGAGGAGGAGCAGGAGCAAGAGGAGGAGGAGGAGGAGGAGGAGAGCGGCGGTGCCGGCAGCGGCCGCCCCC